TACATGAAAATGAAAATTAATGAATACACTGTGTACAGTAATTTACCTGATAAGACAGACCTCAGAAAAATACTTTATGAGAGCTTTTATATTTTTATAAAGCTGTCTATAATGAAAATTAATTAACTAAGGATTTTTTTGCCCTGCCAGGGTGTGGCCGAGTTATCCGGAGTGCCGGGTTATCGAGAGCCGAGTTTTCGAGGTTCTACTGTACTTTCATTATTAACACTTCCATTGTTAATACTTCTATTGTTAATAAATAAATAAATTAATTAAATTAATCTATTATTACAACTGTCTTGAAAGTTAAGCAATGTTTTAAAACTATATATCTTTATATGAACTTATTCCTCGGGCTTCATAATGTTTTTTAAATAGAGGATAAAACTTTCCATATATAGCACGATTATTTTTTATAACAAATTTTGAATTTACGTTCAAACAAGCTTGTAATTCTCCAATATTTTTCTCTAAATCTCATCTACCTTAAGAACGATAGTAATTTTTTAGTTATGATTATATGTATAAAAAAAGCCTACGGTGCCATTATATTTAATTAAAAAAATTTAGTAATAAAATTACATACCTGGAACGATCTCCTGAAGTGTTCCAAATAGGCACGTCAAATGAATAGTCAGAGTAGAATTTCTATATTCAGATATTTTAATCTGAAACAAAATTTGCAGCAAACTATAAAAATGTTACTCAATGTTCATTGTAAATATAACAAAACTTTATATTATTAAGTTTTTAACTACTCGTGTATAAGTAAAGTCTGAAATAACCTCTATAATTTGGATATGAGACAGATTTGCAAAACAATTACGAATAAAATCTGTCGATTATTATTGTTCTAAAGATGAACCTGTGTATTTTAACCGTGAAGTTAAATTACATACAACTAATTGAAAATCTCTTCATCCTAGATAAACTGTGAAATACTCAACGTAGTAAAGTAAGCATAATAAAGTATTATTACCTTCACCCCCACTAGTAGCCAAGCGGTCTTCGTATCCTGAACACTGGGCGGTTCGATCGTGGATTTGCGCCTCACCCGAACCGGCTGTGAATACGTGGAGTTTTCTCTACGTGAATAACGCCTAATTAAGGGCCAATTTCCCTTACAGAGACCTCCCGAAAGGCGTTTCCATAGGCAGATCACATAAGTGTTGCGTTGCCGTAACTAAAACAAACGTTCCCTTCACGACACGTGAAAAATACTTTAAAATTTTAATAAAAACCTAGTTATTTCAAAGGAATTTTTGCAGATATATTTGAATTTTCAATTGATCTTTGCTTTAAACTAACAAGCAAATTAAATTAAAATTATAGCTTTGTGATAATTGAAAAGTTTTTGGAATTAATTACGTTTAACCTAAAAAGAAAATGTACTTGAATTTCAATGTATTTAAGACAAATTTAAATAAAAACTTACCGTAAGTTCGGTGTTTATTTTTATTGTCCGAAATATCTTATCAAACTTTAAGTTGAATGAACGAAGTTAATTGTATTTTCCACAGAATTATTATATTTAATATATTGATAACAGATTTGCAAATGAATTTTGTATCTTCAGGACAGGATTGAGATGATAGACTTGTTAATATGAAAAGTAAATGAATGTTGCAAGAAATTATAAATTGTTTACGAGGAAAACTTGCAGTATATGTTTATAAACAATTCAGACATAAAAAAAACTGTAGAATAAATTGTTCAGTTGATTTTTAATGAGGCATGCGAATATACTCGTGAAAAACGTTGTTTTAGTATTTTAAAATTTATATATAAAAAAATAATACTGTTTTAAATATTCATCACATTTTAAAATCGATCATTGAATTAAAATTTTCTACATCGTAAACAAAAAAAGACTTTTTCTCTGCAACGGTCACGCGATATTTTCATCCGGCATTTTTAAAACTCACGATAAATAGCTTTTTTCAATCATCATCAAAAATTACCATGTTTATATTTATTTAACAGTAAAACAATTTTAGAATATATTATCTAGTTTACAACAATAAATTTTCAAAAATAATACAAGTTGACCCTCTATAACACTGTTGATTTTTCCGTTTTATATGAATTCCATGTTTTACGAGTCACTTACATTTTACAAATACGTGTGCCGGGCTGTGACAGCTCACGTATTTGTAAAATGTAAGTGACTCGTACAACATGGAATTCATATAAAACGGAAAAATCAATTGTGTTATAGGGGGTCGACTGTACAATGGTATAAGAATAAATTATGAAACTTAAAACGATGGAGTCAGAATCTTACTTAATTGTACTGTAAATAAGGGGTTATTACAATAGTATTTTTGATGACAGATCACTTATCACTAAAGAAATAATTGACACTTGATGCTTTTAGTCTTGTTTGAATCAGTTGTAATGTGAAACGTACAGTACCAAAGTAAATCTTTCTGTAGATTGATTATCATAACGATAATAAATACATGAGTTATATAATATTATAATTGTACAAATCTTTACGACGATATAAATTAAAATAATTTAAATGATTAAGTAATTTAAAAAAATATATGCAGGACGGACAGAATGAAAAAATGCAACACACCAGTAATTTCTCAAGCTCCATACTTATAAATAAATGCAGTATTTTAATTTTATATTTTGATAGAAAATGGTAAGCAAAATTAAAAAATTAATTGATATTAAATAATAAATTAAATACAAAGTCAAATTTTAAAAGCATTGATAAATATATTCAGTTTAATAAAAGTTAAAATTTTTACAGGAAGAAAAGAAAATAATAGATACTTTCTATTGTTTCTTGCATGTAAGAGTACAATTAAAGAAACGTCTAACAAAACAAGTCATAACTACAATAATAATGATGGAGTTATCTTTTATTGTAATGTAGTAATTTTCGTTGTCATTTTTGTATTGTTTTTTTTTTGTTTATTATTTATAATACTATACGCAGTTGGACACTATATTTTATTGTCATCGTCATGACACTAATAAATTCTACTTTTAATTACTGCTATTGTGTTTTACTATACTATTTACGTTTAAAATATTATAAAATAATTAATTTTTTAAGTTTGCTAAAAATTATATTCAAGTATATTTCTTATATAAGCCTTGTAATTTATTTTTTATAGTTTTATATTGTTTATTATTACTCTCTTGCTGCTACAACAAAAGAAAGTATGGAAAAACAATAGAAGAAACATCCCTCACCAGATTGATATATATATATAGGCTTCAGAAGACTTTAAAATATCAAGAAATGCAATAAAATAGTAGTTAATTTCAGTACGTATGGATGATGTTAGTGTGTAAGCTTATGGGGGAAATAATTGTTCACGCTCTTTCAAGCATTATAACTTTTCTGCTATTTGTCAAAAATTTCTGAAATTTTGCAGGAAGGTTTCTGTATAAAGGGACTTGATGCTGTCATAGATTATTGGTTAGAGGTCAAAGGGGTGGGTGGTAAAGGAAGTTGTGCGTACCTCAAAAAAATAAGGTTTAATAACTATTGTATTTTTCCTACATAGAATAGGTGCGTTTTAAACGTAAAATAAATTATAACTTTATTCCTAAACTAGTAAAACAGGTTTGATAGTAAGTAGTTTTATCCTGATATAATGTCAGCCATGTTTGCAATTGCTTTTATAGAAAATATACAAATAAAAACGATATTACAGTAGATTCAAAAACACATTGTTTATTCTAAAATTACATTATTTTGTGTTCCGTTAGGATTACGAACTTACACAAGAGTAACACGATAAAAAAATCTATTTAGTAATGTTTTGTTTGTTATATCATCATTTCTGTTCTATTATAATTAACGTTTTTTAAAGTATATTATTTATTGTTGTTCTGGAAAGAGCACATATGGTCTATGAGTCATCGACTGTATTATTAATAAGTAAATAAATAAATATTTTAGATGGTGTAAATAAAAATTATATGTCTTATATATAATTTTAATAGCGAATGTCTAGATACGCAATGTAACACATGGTTACTACCTAGCTTCACCCACAGATAGCAGTATATGTTTATAAACAATTCCGACATAAAAAAAAACTGTAGAATAAATTGTTCAGTTGATTTTTAATGAGGCATGCGAATATACTCGTGAAAAACGTTGTTTTAGTATTTTAAAATTTATATATAAAAAAATAATACTGTTTTAAATATTCATCACATTTTAAAATCGATCATTGAATTAAAATTTTCTACATCGTAAACAAAAAAAGACTTTTTCTCTGCAACGGTCACGCGATATTTTCATCCGGCATTTTTAAAACTCACGATAAATAGCTTTTTTCAATCATCATCAAAAATTACCATGTTTATATTTATTTAACAGTAAAACAATTTTAGAATATATTATCTAGTTTACAACAATAAATTTTCAAAAATAATACAAGTTGACCCTCTATAACACTGTTGATTTTTCCGTTTTATATGAATTCCATGTTTTACGAGTCACTTACATTTTACAAATACGTGTGCCGGGCTGTGACAGCTCACGTATTTGTAAAATGTAAGTGACTCGTACAACATGGAATTCATATAAAACGGAAAAATCAATTGTGTTATAGGGGGTCGACTGTACAATGGTATAAGAATAAATTAAGAAACTTAAAACGATGGAGTCAGAATCTTACTTAATTGTACTGTAAATAAGGGGTTATTACAATAGTATTTTTGATGACAGATCACTTATCACTAAAGAAATAATTGACACTTGATGCTTTTAGTCTTGTTTGAATCAGTTGTAATGTGAAACGTACAGTACCAAAGTAAATCTTTCTGTAGATTGATTATCATAACGATAATAAATACATGAGTTATATAATATTATAATTGTACAAATCGTTACGACGATATAAATTAAAATAATTTAAATGATTAAGTAATTTAAAAAAATATATGCAGGACGGACAGAATGAAAAAATGCAACACACCAGTAATTTCTCAAGCTCCATACTTATAAATAAATGCAGTATTTTAATTTTATATTTTGATAGAAAATGGTAAGCAAAATTAAAAAATTAATTGATATTAAATAATAAATTAAATACAAAGTCAAATTTTAAAAACATTGATAAATATATTCAGTTTAATAAAAGTTAAAATTTTTACAGGAAGAACAGAAAATAATAGATACTTTCTATTGTTTCTTGCATGTAAGAGTACAATTAAAGAAACGTCTAACAAAACAAGTCATAACTACAATAATAATGATGGAGTTATCTTTTATTGTAATGTAGTAATTTTCGTTGTCATTTTTGTATTGTTTTTTTTTTGTTTATTATTTATAATACTATACGCAGTTGGACGCTATATTTTATTGTCATCGTCATGACACTAATAAATTCTACTTTTAATTACTGCTATTGTGTTTTACTATACTATTTACGTTTAAAATATTATAAAATAATTAATTTTTTAAGTTTGCTAAAAATTATATTCAAGTATATTTCTTATATAAGCCTTGTAATTTATTTTTTATAGTTTTATATTGTTTATTATTACTCTCTTGCTGCTACAACAAAAGAAAGTATGGAAAAACAATAGAAGAAACATCCCTCACCAGATTGATATATATATATAGGCTTCAGAAGACTTTAAAATATCAAGAAATGCAATAAAATAGTAGTTAATTTCAGTACGTATG